GATGTGGCAAATTACAAAGCCATGAGGCCCTCAGCTGAATGCATCTCTAATTTGTTCATCATTGGTGCTATCTTCCCTCGATAAAGTTTCAAAAGGATGAAGGTAAAGTCTTGCAATATTACCACCACTCTACCCTCAGCTGAATGCATCTCTATTTTTTTACTCATTTCTTCACTAAAATTTCTGGGATTGATTTACACAATATGCAACATATACTCATATAGTCAGTCAACAAATTTTCACAAAATCGCTGCAACGTATAATTGTGCTTCTGAGATCCATTATGAGAAAAACAAATGTGTGCCTACTGATATTCCATAGCATAACAGGGTTAAAAAACAAATTAAACTATTTAGTACTCGAATTGAGTTCAATTCGATAAGAGCTTGTTCGAGTTTGATTTCCTAATTAATCACATTAAATTTGAACAGTATTTTATAGTTGATAAACATTATAGGTCAAACTTGGCTCGATTAGCATAGAATTAAACTTTATAGATAAAATACTCAAGTTACTCGAGCTCGACTCGAGTTACACTCAATAAAAACTCATTCGAATTTGATTCGATGCTAGGATGTTCGGTTTAATTAGACTCGTTTAGACCCCTAGTATAGCATGCTTGTTCTACGTTAGAGTAACCTGTAATTACATAAGTATGCAAAGGAAAATTTAAGAGCAAACTACAATGTAGCAACTGCAAGTTCAAACGTAGTCTCTCCTATCCACTTTTGATTTATAGGTCCACCAAATATAATGGCAGAGGCTCATTTGTATTGTATGGGTCACCAGCAGCATCTTCCCTGATAAAGTCTCAAGTGGAAAAAGAAAAAGCCTTGCGATATTATCACAGGCATGCTCCACTATCTTTCCTTACCACACATGCTAAAAAAGAAAACAGAGTATTGCCAGACAAAAAATAAATAAATAAAAGAGAGAGGGGGAGAAAGAGAGTCTTGACAGCAAGATATTGCTGTTGTCGGATAATAAGAAAGGCCCATATTATAAGAAAAACGTAGAAATTTGACATTTGGTGTATGTATGTGTGTGTTATGTGAATTTTTTAATTGTGATGGGTACCCATTAACACATCTAAATTACCTGTTTAGGGTTGCAGTAACTTATCAAAAAGTACTTCACCTAATAAGCCTTTTAATAAAAGCGCTTATTAAGTATTTAAGTGCTTTTGAGTATATTATTTGAATATATAATTCAATAAGTACTTATTGTATTGAATAACATGTAATTTGAAATTTTTTTTAAATGTATTTATCTCTTTCTTTAGTTCATAATATAGGATAACATGATTAAATTTAATCTTTTATTTTTTAAAATATAAAAGTATCAAATTTGAGCTTTTTCTAAAAGTGCTCTATAAGTGCTTTTAATACCAAAAACTTCACTTCTAATTTTATGAGATGATATTCATTAAATGTCCCAAAAGTACTTTTAATACCCAAAAGTAATTTGTAACTAAAAGTACCGCAACCTCAAATGAGCCCTTAGTGCGTGAGTACACATAATTATAATTCTTATACTCCTATATTTAGACACCTTTCCAAATTAATTACACGTTTTAAAAAAACTAGAACGTGAGGCCCCTTTTAACGAGAGCCCACTAGGTATCAATTAGCCAAACTGCACTATCATATACAATTACATAGCTAGCCAACCAGATAGATACATAAAAAAAAATGTTGTAGCACCTTTTAGTTGCTCAATTGATCTTCACCAATTAATGTTGTAGAAAATAGTCAATGTGACAAATTCTCTTATGCTCATACCTCAAGCTCTTCTCTCTCTCTCTCTCTCTCTCTCTCTCTCTCTCTCTCTCTCTTTCACACACCTTTTTTTTCTAGGAAGTTTTGTTTTAATAGTTAAAATTGAGACTCCAAAACTCACAAGTCCTATGTTTCAATCCCTCTTTCCCTTCTCACTTCTTAAATCCCACCCCTCTCCTGCTTAAAAAAAAAAAAAACCTCTCCTATTTTTGGTCATCCCAGTTTTCTAGTTGTTTCCTCGCGTTGTCCAGCAGTAACAAATATGGTCATTTATGGTTTTTTTCACTTCAATTCCACAATTTAATTTGCCATTTTACTTTTCATTTTTTCCTTTTCTTAAGCACATTTCTATCCTTAATATAACAATTAAACCCCTATTTGTGTTTCATGGACTGACACGAGTGTACTTGCCGTAGTCTAGATTATTTTGACAAATGAATAAAGAATATCTCACAAAATATTTTTCAGTGTTTATGCAGCATAAATTTAAATGAATTCTTGTAAAAAAGAATTGTGATATTGATGTGAAAAAAAAATAATGCTAATTCAGGCATAAACAAAAGAAAGAATAGTCCAGGAATACACATATTTCCATTTTCACATGCACATTAAAGACGAAAACAATATCCTTATACTATATAAGAATGAGTTTAGAGTAAAGATGTTCTTTGGATTTCAACCGTAAGGGTAGGGCTATTTTGGGAATGTAAGAGTTTGAAGTGCAATTGGAGTATTGAATACAAGTGATTATAGCTAATTTAGTTTTGTTGTAATTACTTAGATGTCCTTTTAAACATTTAAAGCTAGGGGTGACAGATATCCGATTGAACATTGGGTATAACTAAATTCAGCTTGTGTTTTAGTGAAATAACATAAAAGCCCTTCTAATCATTTAATTGTATTAACATCCAGGTCTCTTAATTTTCTAAAGCATTTCTCATCAGTTATTTGCAAACTTATGATATATAGATATTAAGACACAATTAATGCCAATTAGTAGAGAAGTTTGCTTTCTTGGCCGTTACCCCCATCTGTTCATATTCATTGCATTTACTTACAACTTTCTTCCACCACAATCATGTAGCCTATTAAATTTGGATGTTGCTATATTAGCCACTCCTCTTCCCCATTTTGCAACACCTTTCTTAATAAGTATATTTTCTTTAGCCAATCTACTTTTTGATTGTAAGAAATCTCAATAGGTATGTTTTCTTTAACCAATCTATTTTTTTGGTTGTAAGAAATCTGTAATCTTAAAGGTTGTATGTGTGATAATTTTTTAGTATTTTAATTCAATTGTCCATATTAGATAGGCATGATAGGGAGGAGATCACATTTGTTAATTATTATTTGTGGTTTAAAGTAAGTTTATCATTGTAAATTTTTCCATATGCAGATTGCATCTACTTTTGTTGTTTTAACTAACAAATTGTTTGTTATTTTATTGATGATTCCATTTAGACAAATTTTTTACTTCATTTGATTTGCCAATAGTTTGGCTGCAAATCTAAATTATGTACTTCATTACTTTTAATTGTTTTCTTGAATTGAGTGGTCTAAGATGTTTTAGTACTTTATTTGACGTGGTTATTCCTCTAAATTAGCATTTTAGTTGTTGTATGTATTTGTAACTAGATCAAAAACTGATGTGTAGGGATTGTAATCCTTATCCAGAAGGAGATGCTTTACTATATGTTCTAAATCATACAATAAATCATAATTGATGGATCGGTGAATGTGGAGATTTCATGATGATATGTTCTTGGAATTAATATAAATTCAAGAATTTGGCTTGCAAGAACCGAAATTCCACTAGCAATGATTTCTTCAAATATGCTAATTGTTCAAATCTCACTTATATGACAAGATAATGTGGTAGATTGTCCTTATATTAAGATCAAATTCAAACTAAACAATAGATTTTAATATCCATAAAGTGCATGAGCAGATATAAATAGATCTTTTATTTTATTAGGTTAGATGCAAAATAGTTAATCGTATCTTATAATTTTGTTTCATTGCATATTAGTATATTTTTTAACTCAATATGTAACTTATGATTTTTCTGTTTAATATCATATATTAAAATTGTCATACTTCAATTCTTATACTACAAAATACCAAATAATAATTATTAACCATATTTTATTATAAGCACTAAACTCCCACGCGTCGCGTGGGCTTTTCCTCCTAGTATGTATAAGTTGAGAGACTTTATAAGACCAATCACCAATGTTATAACAAGCATAATATTTTGCTTCTACCTATAATATGACACTAATCATGGTTAATCTGAAAACATCTGTGAAACAAAAAGTGAACGATACGCCAATGGGAAATCACTATTTTAAGAAAATGGTTAGTAATATTATGTACTTATCCATTAAGTTCCAAGCAAAATCATGCTAATATCTTCTGCTTTTACATATGCAGGAAGGATCCTATTGAAAAAAAATTATGGATTGATTAGGGACTAATAAAGGTCATATGTATTGCATTTTCACGGAATGTTAGGTTTTAAACACTTTCTTAAGTATTTTCTTCAATTTAAAATTTTATTCCTAAAAGCTTATGGATATTGTTCTTTAAGTGCTTCCAGAAAACTTCCCTACAATCATAACAATCATGTTGAATAAGAAACTGATATGCTATTCTTCTTTAGGTTCCAAATGTATTTCCAAAGAAGTTTCTAAAACCTTTCTCCAAACAATTTATTCTCACACTATTGCTCAAGAAAATTGAGGAAATCTCCATATTTGTTTATGCAATTAATTGACTGCTTAAAGAAATTTGTAAAACTTCTTTCCATAATATTGCTCAGGGAACTTGAGGAGATCTCCATATTTGTTTTATGCACTTAATTGACTGCCAATGTAATCTCTAAAACTTCTTTCCGAACATTTACTTTCCACACTTCTCCTAAGGAAAATTAAGAATATTTACTTCAATAGGATTTATATTTCCAAGCAAAAATCTCATTGTTGGTGTTACTTCAATAGTATGCTCGTTACAAATCAAATTGACCAATAATTTTAGACCCCACAAATGCACATGACAAAAGCTCATTGGAATGGACTTGGGAGTCACCAACAGCATATGCCTGTTGGTACGATCTTTCATTAATAAAGTATCAGAAGGAAGAAGGAAATGTCTGGTACTATTCTTCACCACCACGCGCCACCACCCCTGCCACACACACACACAGAGAAAAAGAATAGAGTATTGACACCCGACACCAATGTGTGACTATTGTTGTTAGATCATAAGAAAGTTGTAGATCTTGAATATCAATAGCTAAACGGACAGAAACCTAATATCAAAGTGAAAAGCAGGTACCATGATGAACATCTCCTCAGGCAGTAGCACTAGTTGCTTTGATTTTGCTTTAGATCATCTAGACTGGATTGACAAGACGCTCGACTCTGAGCTTGATCATTATATTTGGAAACTGAAGATGGGGATACGCATATTGAAACCCTTTGATCTGTATATTAGAAAGTGTAGGAGGTGGAGGAGCAATCAATTTACGTGTTTGGAATATGATAAGGAGGAAAATGGTGATCCTAAATCTGACAATTTGAGACTTAGCAGTATTTCGTTCAGGATTCAAGATCTGGTTAGGGGGATAACACATGGACTTGACTCTGCCTTTTTTAGATATATTCAGTCTAGTGCATCAGATCATAGTGACATCAGACCTGAGCTTGCCAGATTCGAGGAAAATATGAGGTTGCTTTTTGATTCAGATATCAAGGAATTCAACATCATCAGTTTGTTGCTCTACTACTCGCTGGGAGATTTACAACCTGTTATGGATTTCATTGATTTGATTTCAGAGAATCTGAGGCATCTTTATGGCACATGTTATGAATTTGATAAAGATTTGAAAATTGTAATGCGAACCCTTCAAGAGAAGCTAATGCACTTGAAGAGTTTCATTCGCTTTGCGACACTACAAGGTGTTGAGGGTGTGCAATTAAAAGATCTGTTGGTTCACGTTGAAGTTGTGGCTGTCAATACTGCAAGCTTGATCTGTAGATTATGGTTTCAAAGAGATGATGAACAAGTGTGCAATGAGATAAACACTGAAATTTCTCAAGCGATACAGCAGATGATTGTTCCCGTTGATCCCCAAGTTCAAGAAACTTATTTGCATGTTTTGACAGCTTCCAAGTTATCAAGATCATCCTGCACTTTTGTTATGAAGGAGAATAAGCATCTAGTGGCTAAATTTATTGATTATCTCCTCCATAGTCTTATGGAGCTATTAGTATATTATACCAGTTTCCTAGTTTTAGTGAAGGATCAAATGCTGAAACTCCATGATGGTGTAAAGTTCCTTGTTACCCTTCTTAGCAAGCAGCAGGAGAAGTTCGATGAGCTAAATGATAAGATGAAGGATCTCATTGGAGTTGTGGTCTCTGATGCAGGAATTTTGATTTTCTCCCTTTCTGTGAACGAAATGAAAGAAGGCGTGTGCAAGGAAACAGATCTGGCACTTTCTCATTTGCTTGAAGTGCTCAAGTTGATCATTGCAGAAGTTGGACACATTTATCCACTACCATCATCATCACTTAGTTTCCCTAAGACTAATGAGCTTGGCTCTCTTGATTTTCTTCTAGATACTCTCAAGGAACTAGCAGGTTCTACAGCTGATTCAATTGCTTTTCCAAACAATCAAATACGCACAATCCTAGAAGATCTTGTATTCTTAAGAGCTTTCCTAGGAAATATTGTGGAGCAGCGCAGCCAAAATGGAAAACTCCAAACTCTTTGGAGTCATGTCATGAAGGTTGCATACTCTGTAGAATTAGAAATTGACTCTGCATTGCTTGGTGATAAACATGAACATTGTGTGGATGCTTTTGCTAGAGATATCCAGCTTATGAAGATTGAGGCTGAAGAGATCTATGACAGCATAAGGTATGATGCTGAAACCCTGAGAGTTACCAAGACTACCATTCACATGCCATCACAAATTGTTGCTCCAATATTTAATGAAGCTCTAGTAGGTCTCAATGACGAGGTGGAAAGTATAATTGATAGACTTGTGAGAGGATCAAGCCAGTTGGGTATTGTTGCCATTGTAGGTATGCCGGGGCTTGGTAAAACCACATTAGCTAGTAAAGTTTACGGTGATCCTTCAATAAATTTCCACTTCCATATTCGTGCTTGGTGTACTGTTTCTCAAGTATATAGCAAGCACAATTTGTTACTGCAGATTTTGTGTGCTATTGATTCTGGGAGTTATGACCAATGTCATACGATGAATGAAGATGATTTCGCTGCAAAGCTGTACCAGCAATTGAAAGGGAAGAGGTATGTCATTGTTTTGGATGATGTTTGGGACATTGACGGGTGGAATTTGTTGAAACACTCATTGCCAGATGACTGCAATGGAAGCAGGGTACTCTTAACCAGCAGATTTCACAACTTGTCTTTGGAAATTAGACCGGATAGCAAGCCTCTCCATCTTCGCCCACTTACTGATAAAGAGAGTTTGGAATTGCTGCAGAAGAAGCTATTTGCCAAAGAAGATTGTCCTGCAACATTAAGTGAAGTCGTACTGCATGTAGCAAAATGCTGTAAGGGCCTACCTCTTGCAGTTGTCCTTGTTGCTGGAATTCTTGCTACTACTCAGCAAGATTGCTGGGAAGAAGTCGCAAGACGTTTAAGTTCCACCATTTTTGTAGAAAATGAACACTGCATGAAGACACTTGAGTACAGTTACAATTATTTACCAGATTATTTGAAACCATGCCTTCTTTACTTGGGTGCATTTCAGGAAGACCAAAACATTCCTGTCCGAAAGTTGTTACAGCTTTGGATCTCTGAAGGATTCGTGCGAAGGATTGAAGGAAAGAGTTTAGAGGATGTGGCAGACAACTATTTGATGGATCTGATTGGGAGAAGTTTAGTTATGCCTACACAACGAAGATCTTTAGGTGGGATCAAAGTTTGCCGAATTCATGATTTGGTACATGAGTTTTGTGTGGAGAAAGCAAAAGAAGAAAATTTTCTAGGGATTGTAAATGTGGATGACCTTCATACTTTTCCTGGACCGTGTAATCCCCACCGGCTGTCTATTTACCCTAGCACCAGTAAGGGACCTATAAAGTCAAGGCTAATTTTTCCCAATTTACGTAGTTTGCTCTTCGTTGATTGTAAATATGGACAGCAGTTGGATTTGGACGGAAGCTCACTCAAATTTCTGTTATCTAAACTTCTTAGAGTGTTGGATTTGGGGGAGATGCTTTGTCGGTATTTTCCAAGGGAAGTGTTATTCCTTGTTCACTTGCGGTACTTGAGGATAAATTGGAACTTTGGGCAAATCCCATCTGCAATAGCCAACCTCTCAAGGTTAGAAACTTTGGCTGTAGGAGGATCCCTTGTTCGTACTATTTTTCTGTTACCAAACGCTATCTGGAACATGAAAACGTTAAAGCATCTTGTCGTTTTCCCACACTATAGAGTTGGTGGTTTGGAATTTCCCATGGACAATGTTGAAGGCTCCCCAGATTTAGAACACTTAGAAACTTTATGCCTTGTAATCGATCCCTCTTCTCAAGGTCAAAGCTTGCAAAAGATACTGTCAAAGTTGCCGAGCATCCGCAGGCTAACGTGCGCGAATGGGAATGACAATTGGCATTCTGAAGCATCTGCGGGAAATCACAATGGGATTCTCGTGCTGGATTACTTGAGTCATTTAGAATCACTTGAGATGGTTGGATTTGCCGGATATGAGTTTGTATTCCCATTGAATTTGAGAAAGTTGACAATCTCATATAATCGTCAGCCATGGAGTAAAATTTCAGCAATTGGAAAGCTGCCCAACCTTGAAGTGCTTAAATTATGCCCTTTTTCCTTTGTGGGGGAAGAATGGGAAATGGAAGAAGGGGAGTTCCAAAACCTCCGATGCTTGGAATTGCTTGGCTTGGACATTCGCTGGTGGACTGCATCTTGTGATAATTTTTGCTGTCTTGAGAAATTGGTTTTACTGAATTGTTTTAGGCTGGAAGAGGTCCCTTCTTGTTTAGGGGAAACCTTCACTCTTGACATGATTGAGGTGACATCGTGTCATGAGTCTGCCGTAAATTCTATGAAGAAAATTCAGCAAGAGCAGATGGATATGGGAAATAAGGATCTAAAGATCGTTATTGCTGAACTACAAAAATAGTGATGGTCCACGTCTTCTTCTCAGTGCCAATTCAGAAAGAGAGTCGATTTCCTCTCATCACATTTTGCAATGGGTACCGTTGATGCATCTTCTTGAGTGGGCAGAGTCAAAAGCAGAGGGGGTTCCACTTATTAGGTTAGACATACTGCCGCTGTCCTATTACTTTCAATTCGTTCAATGCTATTACTTTCATGTTTCTTAGTGCAATTTCGATAAGTCATGCATTTATGAATACAGCATTGTCTATCAAGCATGTTTCTATACTATTCTGCTGTTCTTATTTCGCTCAATATTTCATAATTTTTATGATCAATCATCCAAATTTCTGAAATTTTCTTCATTACGGCTACAGATTTGTGTGATCCTTAAGAACAGCTGAGCACAAGCATATATGCGAAGTACACTTTCCCATTCCTGTTATATATTCCACCGAGAGTACTAATTTTCTTTTTTTGAAATCAAATAATTGAATGACCCGAGGCTTTCTTTTCCCTTTTTTCTATTCATTTTGAAATGCCAAGAATGCTGTATGCTATTGCAACCTTGCTGTGTAGAATTTTGCTCTTTTTGTTCTTTTTCCATTTTTTTAAAATTTTTGACCATCTAGATATATGAGTTTTCTGCTTATCACTGTTTTTAATCCAACCATTGTTCTCTCTCTCTCTCTCTCTCTCTCTCTCTCTCTCTCTCTCTCTCCTAAATGTTTCTTTTATTCAAGGGTTAATTACATTTACCTCCCCTAAGGTTTGACCATATTACCAATCAATCCTTGTAATTTGTCCAAATAACGGTCTCACCCTTTGAATGATCAAACATTTAACAAAAACCCCCTTAATGCCGAAAATGCCCTTTTTGAGGCCATATTGCATTAAAAAAAGAACATATTTTTATTTTATTAACCCTGAAGCAATCCAAAAAAATAGAAAAAATTTTTTGCTTATTATTTTATAAAAATCATATCTTTGCTTCTATAAATAGTTTTGAATCAATAATTATTTTAAATCTTAAAAATGAATATTAAAAATTAGATAAATTGAAAGAAAAATAAAAAAGAAGCAATTATTTTAAATCCTCAAATATGGTTCGAATTTGTGGTTCAAGGCATGTTGCGGAGAGCACAAGACATGTTTTCCTCAATTTGAACCATACTCCAGGAATTAAAATAATTTCTTCTTTTTTTTATTTTTCTTTCAATTTATCTAATTTTTAATATTCATTTTTATGATTTAAAATAATTATTGATTCAAAACTATTTATGGAAGCAAAGATATGGTTTTTATAAAATAATAAACCAAAAATTTTTTTCTATTTTTTTGGATTGTTTCAGGGTTAATAAAATAAAAATATGTTCTTTTTTTAATGCAACATGGCCTCAAAAAGGGCATTTTCGGCATTAAGGGGGTTTTTGTTAAATGTTTGATCATTCAAAGGATGAGACCGTTATTTGGACAAATTACAGGGATTGATTGGTAATATGGTCAAACCTTAGGGGAGGTAAATGTAATTAACCCTTTATTCAAATACATCGTATGAAATGTTCTATGTTCATTTCACAGCTCTAGAATCTGACATTGTCTAACATTAAACAGTTGCAAAAAAGCTTAACCAAAAGGCACTTTCCAATGAAGAATTACAAAGATTTCTGTATTAATTCTTGTATGATAAATGCGGTGTAGAATTAAATTAGACCCCACTGCAAATCGTTTAATTCATCACTACCAACCGCTATTGTCCGAAGGAAACTATGGGCCTGTTTGGAACCTGAGTTTTTTTGGAGTTTGTCTAAAACTTTACTGTAGTGCACTGTAGAAGTTTTTAAAAAAATTTTGTAGAAGTTTATGTAAGGTGAAAAATTTTTTTTGTAGAAGTTTTTGTAAGGTAAATTTTTTTTTTTCTTTTTCTCTTTCTCTTTCTCTTTCCTTTTCTTTCCTCTCTTCTTCTTCTTCTTCTTCTTGCTTCCCCCTTCCCCTTCCCCGTTACCTTGCACCAGCAACTCCCTTTCCCCCCTCCCCCGGCCACTGCCCTCCCCTCCCCCGCCACCGCACTGCCCTCTCTTTCCCCCTTCCCCAGCCCACTGCCCTCCCCGGCCACCGCACTGCCCTCTCTTTCCCCCCTCTCTTTCCCCTTCCCCTGCCCATGCCCTCCCTTCCCCCGCCCCCGCACTGCCCTCTCTTTCTCCTTCCCCTGCCCACTGCCCTCATCCCCCACCCTTTACGCCGCCTTTCCCCCCCGCCCCCACCTTCTGCCTCCCTTCCCCCCACCTTCTGCCTCCCTTTCCCCCTTCCCCCCGCCCTTTGCCCTGCCCTTCCCCTGCAGCCCAGCCGCACCAGACGATGGTAGGCCCAGGCTCGCGACCAGACACAGCCCAGGCTCAGCCTTTCCTTTTCTCCACAGCGCACCAGAAGCAGCCTGGGCTCACGACCCATCCGCAACGTGCGCGCAGGCTGGGGGACGAAACAGTGGTGGTGTGTTTTGGGAACCGGCGGTGGTGTTGGGTTGGGATAGGGGAGGAAGAAGAAAAAAAGGGAAGGGAATTTTTTTTGGTGTGTTTTGGGTATTTTGAGGTGTATAGGTAAAAAATTTTGAGAAGTTTTTTGGGATTCCTGTAGCAAAAGTTGTTAAAAAACTAGTAGGTAAAAACTTGTCCAAAAAACTGGGTTCCAAACAGACCCTATAGTTGGAGCAATATCCTAGTATAATGATCAATTCATGCAATTGCTGAGATTTTTTACCCCCTGATTGGAAAGGGGTAGAGGAGGCAAATACCACATAGCAACAGATGGACATAATGGAGCTAAGAGGAAAGAGGAGCTATTGCCAGACCTACAGATACACAAGCAAAGCTGTGATTCAACATGGTTAGTATCAAATTGCAGAATGCTTTCGTGCCTTTTGAGAATGCCATTGGATTAGTATTGCCGGCGTTCATTGATTTTCCTAATTTCTTTGGTTTCTTCAAATTCTATCCTAAATTCTCTGGCTGTTCTGATCAAATTCAGCCTAAAGAGCCTTGCAACTTCGATCTGAAAATCCTATTCTTGTTCGGCAAATTTTTGAAGTCTGAATGTGTGAAAACCCATAAATTTTCGTATTTTCTAGGGTTTTGTTTTATTTAATCGCATGTTTTTCTGTAATTTCTTTATTAGAAAATTTTCTAACTCGTTTTATGAGTAAATAGGGTTTTTAAAACATTTTTCTAGTATAATTGAGTTCATGAGATTTTTGGAGCGTATACCGGGCGTGGGACCCGTTAGTGCGGAAAGTTCGGTAATATTCGGCCAATTAGGTTAAGTTTTGCATACAGGGTTTAATTTACTAGGTGCTAAGAGATAATTAGAGGATATCATTTGGATGAGTATTGAGGAAACAAAATGATAGCTTAGCATTTATGAGGGTGACAAGTGTCATCTTGTGATTTATTCTTGAATTTTGACCACTATTCATTACTTTACCAATTAAAACAAAATTTGACCAAAAATTTCTCATTTTCTTCATCTTCTTGGCCAGCCATCTTCAAGCAAAAAGGAAGAAAAACCTCTCCACTTTCTTATCTCCAATCTTGCCCAATCTTTCAATTCAACCGTTTAATCTTCAAATTACTCCATAAAACTTCTTGCTAGAAATGATTAAGAAGGATTAGTGGAGTTGTTTAGGAAAGGGAAGCACTAAGCTACCAACTTTCTTGTGGTTTTAAGGTATTTTGCCAAGAACATCCTATTTACTCCAATTAATTGATTATTAGTAGTTTTTAGCGGTGTTAGATGTTGTTTTGCGGAAGATTAGCACTTGAATGCATGAATTCTAGGTTAGGGTTTTGAATGATCCTGTTCTGTCTGGTTTTATTTGAGCATGTTAGAGACCGAATTAGCTCTTGACCAAAATATGAAAGTTGTATAGAATAATGTTTTATAGTAGCCTGTAAAATTTCAGCTCAATCGGAGCAACGTATCCTGTAAAAAGACCAAAATACCCCTGCTGCCCTGTTTCTATCCGAACATGCTAATCAGCTTCTGTAATTGGTTGTTTTGACTAGGAATACTACTGATTTGGTTGTTGATGTCTTCTTAAGAATTCTAGCCTTGTGTCTTAGATTTCTAATGGCTTTGGAATCACTTGAATTGGAGTCGTATATGCTGAGATATGACTGAATGAATCAGAACTGTTACAGTAAATTTCGAATTGGAAAATCTGGGGGTTGTTTTGGTAAATTTGACCTAGAAACATTGTAAACTGGAGTGAGTAGCCTTCATCAAAGTTGTATCCCTCTGTCTTAGCTTCGCAACGGTATAAATTACACTTAATTCGATAAGTGTAGCTCCAGTTGTGTCCGTTCCGCTAAATGACGTCAAAACTGTCTTTTGGTTTTAGGGTTTATAATTGGGGCTTTTCTAGGGTTTCTTTGTTGCGCTACCATTTGGTTGTTTTGAAGGGTATTGTGGCTCTAATTAAAGGTGTTTGATAATTTGTGATTGGGTGTTGAGGTTTGGTTGGAAAGTAAAGAAAGACAAGGGAAATGCTGTCAAAATTTTTACTGAGCTTCTGTACAGTCTCGGGAAATTTGCTATATCTTGATGTAGGAATGTCAGAATTGAGTTCTTTTGTTGCGTTCTAAACTAGATTCATAGGGCTACAAACCGTGTAAATTTCAGACTCTGTTTATGTCTATACCATTTATGGTGATTTTTCAAAATTGACTGAAATATTGTACCTGTTCTGTCTTTCACTAGATAAAGCAGCAACTTGAGGCTTGAATTTGACTGACTTGCGTTCTGAATCTTATGAGGGTGTTCTCTAGAAAGTTATAGCCCTTTGAATGTATTTTCCAACAGTATAACTTTTACTAATTTTGGACTTACAAACCTTGAGATATGATTTTTCCTATAGGATTGCGCGAAACTGGAAAATCCTATTTTCCTAGTATTGACCTTACTTTCATTTTTTTTAATTCAAATTTGGAGTTGATCAATCATTGTAGGTAGAGTTTTGAGGTTGTGCATGCCTTTAGGACTAATTGTTATCTTTTCACTCCAAAGTCACCTCTTCGCTTTACATTAATGGTTTATTTGGATAGGCACCCGACTTGTAATCGAGCTTTACTTGCGAATTCCACTTATTAGGTTTTGGAGTCCAGTCTT